TCAAAAGCAATTTTTTTACGAGATCTGCAAAGGACAATGAATAAACACATATTAAATCTTAATATCAAAAAGAAAAGTAAAACGATAGTAGAGAAATAAAAAATGAGTTTCGATTTACAATCTATAAAAATATAAATGTATGTGTATGTATTCGATTTGGTTACGTATTTTCTATGCATACAAGGTGTCAAATTTTAATTGATTCACGAGAAAATTGTCGAAATTATTTAAATATTAATCATAAATATTAATCATAAAAAAGATCATCGTCATAAATTTTTCAAATCGCGTATTTCTGTGTGTGTGTGTGTGCATGAGTGCGTGCCTGCGATGTTCTTTTTCTTTTGTGGAATTTCATTAAAATGGTTTTTTTCTTTTTTTTATGAATTCATTAAAATGTGACACCCTGTAGATAAAGATACATATGTATACATATATATATATATATATATATATATATATATATATGTATGTATATACACATGTTTCTTTGTCGATATAATATTACTTTTATCATCGTTCCTTGTCCTCCGTAAAAACCCGACCTAATTTACGCACTGCCGATAATAATTTGTCTTTGTTGATGAAACAAAAACAAAAAAAGAGACAGAAAGAGAGAGAGAGAGAAAGGGAGAGAGAGAGAGAGAGAGGGAAAAAGAGAGAGAGAGAGAGAGAGAGAAAGAAGAAAAATGAGATAATGAAAAAACGATGAGCTTCGTTCTCGTGGATGAGAAAGTCTCGAAGCGTGAATCCCAATGATTATTTTCTTCGATCGTATCGTATAACATCTAAAATGCTATCGTTATAAACGGTATCATTGTTATAAATGATAAAATGCTATAAAAAAAAAAGAAAAAAAAAAAAAATAAAACGTAGAGCTCGTTGGACGATTAAACGACGACACATTTTACTTTTCCACTATGATGTTCGTTTTATCATGTGCTCATTGATCCTTAGATATAATATTATTAAACGAAGATTTAAACAAACGGTATTGTTAACGAGAAAAACGAAAAAAGTAAAATAATAAAAAGGAAAAAAAAAAGGAAGAAAAGAAAGAAAGAGAAGAAAGAAATTTGTCGAATATGGAAGGAAACGTGTGGAGGGGCACATATCAGTAGTAATTATTAACAAAAAAAAAAAAAAAAAAAAAAAAAAAAAAATGATAATATTAAATAAAATAAAATAAAAAAAAAGAAAGAAAAAAGGATTAAAAAGAAAAAAAGCAAAAAAAAAAATAAAATCTACGTACGTGCGTACGTAAATACTTACGGTATGTACGTATCTGTCTACGTACATACGTATATACGTATAATACGTATGTACATGTACATTCCAATCGGCGTTTTACCGTCATTGATTAGCTATAACGTAGAGACCGTCAATTATTATCGCAGTAATGATAATTAATTAATCAATGAGCTTTCAACGTGATCTAACGAGCTCAATAACAAAATCATATTCATTAAACTCTTAATTACGATTCGATCGAACGAAATTATTCTTAAAGGAAACGAATTTTTTCTTTTCGAAATGAAACGAAGATATTGCCACTACGCACAAAAATATCCAATGAAAAATGATTGTTCTCTTGCAAGAGGATAGGAATGAGACTTTCTCGATCCATTCAAGAACAAGATACCAAATGAAACGTTGATTGCTATGTAAAATGTAAAGAGATACATATATAAACAGGAGCGTTCTCTGCTATCGTAAAGTCAATTTTATCGAGTACGAATGTGTATGTGTACGTATTATAAAGGAATACGCAATCGCATTGGAATCAGTACGTTAAATAATAAAGCGAAAATTCTAAGTAAAAATTCTATTATAAATAGTTTGATAATTGTCATCGTTTATTTTTCTTCTCTTTAACACGTAAGTACATAGATATTCATAAAAAAAAAAAAATAAATATATAAAATGTAATTGAAATTGATATTTCAATTTTAACATTATACGCTCCTATTTTATAATTTTTATCGCACGATTAAAAAAAAAAATTTAAAAAGAAAATATAAAAAAGCGTTTTAAAAAGAAAGAAAGAAAAAGAGAAAGAAAAAAGATTTACGAAGAAATGACTATCTGTACTTTTATCCTACTGATTCCATTGCGTACATTCGCGTCATTTCAAATATTCGCGGTAACGTGCGTTTTCGGTGGCCTCCGCCAGGTGGCGGCGACCTTCGTGGCGGGAAAATCGATAGATATTCGATTTTACGCCACACCAGTCGGAAATATCTACTACATCTGTAGGATCGTGTTACGACGAATGGAACGTAGAGAATATAAAATATTATTGTGTTTTATAGAGATAGAATGAAAAGAAAAATAACGCAAAAGAAAAAGAGCGAGAGAGGGAGAGAGAAATGTATATGTCTGTGTATAGATTCATGCAAAAAAAAATCCAAGCGTGGAAAGATTGAATACAATGATTAATACGAAAGATTATATATAGAGAAAAAGGAACGACTGTTGGCAATAATATAAATTTATGTACACGATCTGAGCGAAAGAAAAGAAAGTAATGATTAAAAAAAGAAAAAAAAATACGTAAAGGAAAAAGAAGGAGAAAGAAATAGAGTGAGACGACGATCATTTCGTACGTAGATTTCGCGTGTAATATCACATGTTTTTAAAGGACATCTCAATAAAACGAGTTCGTTGTAATTTAATCGTATAATAAGAGAGATTTGTAGACAGTTTATATTAATATTACTAGTCCCGCTCGACCGTAAAGCGAAAGAGAATACGTATATAGTGAATTTTTTTTTCTTTAAAAAAAAAAAAATAAATAAATAAAATAAAAGACAAAAAGAAAAAAAGAAGAGGAGGAAGAAAAAAAGAAAATAAATAAATAATTAAATAAATAAAAAATGTAATACACACTCGCGTAACGACTTTCACACAAAATTATAGGAAGCTTCGTAAGTCGATCTTAATATTTACATAAAAATATTATTAATAATCATCTATTAATCTCGTGTAGGAGGACAAAGACAAAAAAAGAAAAGAAAAGAAAAGAAAAGAAAAGAAAAGAAAAGAAAAAAAAAGAAGAACAAAAGAAAAAAATCGTCTTGAACCTTTTTACGCGAATCAGTAAAATTCTAAAATAAAATGTATTTTCATTCGTTTCATGAATTTCAAAAAGAAAAGATAAGAAATTAAAACCGAATTTCGATCGATCGACTCTCGAAGCTCCGAGTTTATTTTTTTATAGAATCCGACATAATAGATACGTATGTACGTGTACACATACGTATATTGTATATGTACAAGTATATGTAAATGTATATGATGCGTTGAAGTAATGATGGGGTTAGTTGCCTTCTGTTGTAGAAAGTAAAAAGGAAAAAAAGAAAAAGAGAGAGAGAGAGAGAGGGGCGGAGGGAGGGGGAGAGAAAGGAAGATAGAGATAGTAAACACATGCTAGTTTCTACCGACAATTCGAGATATTATTAGGAACGCGAAATTCTTGTAAAAATTTATTCCTCGTTTTTCTACGAAAGAAGAAGAAGAAGAAAAAGAAGAAGAAGAAGAAGAAGAAAAAGAAGAAGAAAAAAGAAGAAGGAAAATAAAATGAAATAACAAAAAATTCACAGAGAAAAAGAAAATTGACGGAAAAGAAGAGCAAAATTATAAAGAAGCGCGTCGTAAATAAATCAAAAAACTAATTTCAAAAAGAAAAGGAAAAGAGACAAAATATGAAAAAAATAAAAAAAAAAAAAAAGAAACGAAAGGAGAAGGAAAATGTTTCTAACAAATTTCGAATTCTTAGCGTTATCGAAGTTAAAATAGAAATGATGTGAAGTTAGCTAGAGAAAGAAAAAGAAATATGTATATTGTAATGTATAAATCGCACATAAGAGATCCGACGCTTCTTCTCGATCGGTGATTGGGTTGATTCGAAAAATAAAAATAAAAATAAATGAATAATTAAAAAAAGTAAAAAAAGAAACGTCGTTACGTTCGAAGCGCGACATAATAATAATAATAATAATAATAATAATAATAAAAATAATAATAAAAAAAATAATAATAATAACAATAATAATAATGAAATAATAATAAAAATAATAATAATAATAATAATAATAATAATAATAATAATAATAATAATAATAATAATAATAATAATAATAATAATAATAATAATAATAATAATTAATAACGTTATTAATAAAATAATGATTAATATTTATTAGTCAGATGGATAATGATGATGACGATAATAACAATAATGATGATGGTGACAATGAAGATGATACCAATATAGATAAACTATGAAAGAGAAAAATAAAAGAGAAAGTGAGTGAGAGGGAAAAAGAAAAAGAGAGAGAGAGAGAGAGCAAAAGAAAGAGACACAGAACATTTATATATCGTAGCGCTAAAGAAAAGGAGTTAGAAAACGAGTAGCATTTTTGGTTTTTCTACTGCGCGCTTCATAGGAATATCTTAGAGGCGAGATCCTTCTTTTTCAAAATGTAGGATAAACAACCATACGTTTTGGTTTGCGAGGACTCGCGCTCGATAAAAGGACGAAGAGCTTGGACGGTTGATTTTATCGAGTCTATTTTTAGTAGTTTTGTTTAACGACTAAACGGAACAAGAAAGCGAAGATAATAAAGAAAAGAAACCGCACGATAGAGATTATATATACATATATCTATAAATATATATATACATATATATATATATATATATGTATATATATATTAACTATCACAGCATGTTAAGCGACGTATCACGATCTTGTATGTATGAATAATGGAGTATCGAAAAGAAAAATCAAATAAAACGTTATACGATAATGTCCGTTCAATCTCTTCTTTCGTTTCAATTTCGTGCCACTCGAACATTTTCGTTTTACTGGTCATTGATAAAATCGAGATCTATATTACCGACCTAAAGTTATCTACTTTTTTTTTTTTTAGTTTTATTTTCTCTAGTTTTTTCTACTAATAAAATTTTATTTCGATAGAAGGTGCATCGATCGTTTCAGACGCACATGCCAGTTGAGTTAGTTCGCTCGATTGATATGGGTCGATTTTAATAGTAAGGTTAAAAGTAATACGAGATACAAAGGAAATTAAAAATGCAGACCTTATTGCTGCTCGTCGTAATTCTATTTTCCAGTATTGTAACCGCGACGTTTATAGAAGGTATCTTTCAAATCCAACAGGATCTTCCAATCTGGTTCTCGACTTTGAAACGTTCTATAAAAGATTCTGTTTTTTTTTTTTTTACTTCCTACTTTTGCGGACTGTCTCGACATGGCGCTTAAATTACACAGTAGTATATCGCGAATACTCGCACGATAATATAGATTATATATCCAGCCATCCTGCGGTTATAGCTTTAACTATCGTATTTACTCGTTCTTTTTGTTCATTGCTAACCGCCGATATATGGGAATCTTCTAAAGAAATTATTTTTTTTTTAATTTATAATCTAGATATAAATATGATTTATTTCTTTTTTCTTCTTTTTTTTTCCATCCTTTTCTCGGCCTCCAGACGGTCAATATTGGCATAAAATAGCGCAGGAAGAATTGAAAAAATCCCTTTCGTATAAATGGAATACAGGTAAAGCGAAAAATGTAATAATCTTTGTGGGTGATGGTATGAGTCCCGATACGATAACAGCCAGCAGGATTTATCGAGGTGGTGAAACGAGTTATCTCACCTGGGAAAAATTTCCGCATGTTGGTTTATTGAAGGTATATAAATATATATATATATATATATATATATATATATATATATATAGCGTGTTAATATTAAATCGTTTTATCTTAAGTAAACAGAAAATATTAAATAATATTTAATTAAAATGATTAAGATTTATTTTCTATTATTGCTTCGTTTCAAAACAAAAACAAAAACAAAAATAAAAACAAAAACGAAAAAAAAAACAATGAAAAATGTAGACGTACAATACAAACAAACAAGTGCCAGATTCAGCGTCCACGGCAACCGCATTATTTGGTGGAGTTAAAACTAATTACAAAGTTGTTGGAGTCGATGTTAACGTCAAATTGGGAGATTGCAAGGCCAGCTTGAATAAAAATTATCACGTTGATTCAATAATATCTTTAGCCCAGGCTTCGGGCAAGGCTACAGGTTTGTCGATAAAACTTAACAAACAGACAAAAGATTTTTTATTAGTACTTTGCAAATTCATATCTCAATATCGTAATAATATCTTATCTATATAATTATCATAGGATTTGTAACGACTACAAGAGTGACTCATGCGACTCCAGCTCCACTATATGCTCATTGTCCTAATCGACGATGGGAATGTGAAGCTAATATACCAAAAAATATAACTGCTTGCAAGGATATTGCGAGACAGCTCATCGAAAATGAGCCTGGTAGAAACATCAAGGTAGACCAATAATCAATCATGCTCTTCCGTTTTAAATGAAAGTTCTTCCGTTTAAATGAATAACATTTAGCTGGTTGCTACAGGTAATAATGGGTGGTGGTAGACAGACCTTGAAGTCAAACGTAAAGCCTGGTAAATATGATCCAATCGATACATGGGCTTGTTATAGTACTGATGGTAGAGATTTAATAAAGGATTGGGCAGAGGATAAACGAATAAGAAATTTTACGTACGAAGTGGTCGAAAATAATGAACAATTATCGAGAGTAAATACGGATAAAATTGATTATTTGCTTGGTATATTTGCCAATGGTCATATTAAGATGGATTGGGAGAGAGAGAAAGGACCGGAAGGACAACCAAGTTTAGAGGAAATGACTGTAACTGCTTTGAAGATCCTTCAAAAGTCAACTAATGGTTATGTTTTGATGGTACGTTTTAAAATTTCATTCGAATCAATGATATGTTAAGAATAATTATCGATAATATTATATTTACAGGTCGAAGGTGGATTGATCGATTACGCTCATCATCGTGGACATGCCGGCGAAGCTTTACGAGAAACCGTTCGTTTTTCGGACGCCATTAATGCTACTGTTAACATGATTGATACTGAAGACACTTTGGTCATAGTAACCAGCGATCATACTCATTCTATGAACTTTAATGGTTACAGCGATCGTGGTTCATCGATTTTAGGTAAAACATAACATTCATTTCTCATAATTCTTTTTTTTTCTTTTTTTTTTATATTTTTTTTATTTTTTTTAATGAATATGAACAATTAATTTTTGTGGATCATAGGTATTGCACAAAAATCTAAATATGATGGGATACCTTACACGACCTTAACTTACAGCACTGGTGGTCCAAATAATGCAGCTTACATGATATCAAACACGACTAATCTTTTAACAAGAATCGATCCTTCTACTCAAAACACTACAGCGTTTAATTATAGTCAACAAGCTGCTATCGTGTCCGATGAAGCTTATCATGGAGGAGGAGATGTAGCTATTTATGCTATAGGTATTAAATTCCAATAATTCGTTTATGATAACCGCTTATTTATTCACTTTATTATTGCGAACGTTTATGTTCTTAATAGGTCCATCGGCCCATCTTTTCCATAGCGTTCATGAGCAAAATTTTGTTGCCCACGTAATAACATATGCTGCTGATTTTGGAAATTATACAAGTGGTAGTGAACAAAATGCAATATCTAATACTTTTTTCTATTTCTGTCTACTTCTACTTATTTTTACATTATTTACTACTACTATCTTCGCGGTACATAGATAACAAGAAAAAAAAAAAAACCAAAAGTAGACGCGATGAAAGGTAAATCCCGCAATATTTTCTATGAATTCATTTACTTTCTTTTTCTTTATCTTTTCTTTTTTCTTACTTTCTTTTATTTAATTTTATTTTTATTTTTTATTTTATTATTTTTTTTATTTTCAACTTATCAATGAAAACTGCGATATCCGAAAATGGTATGTTTAAAAAGAAATTTATTATATACGCCTTTATGTCTGGTGATATATACATAAATATATATATATATATATATATATATATATATATATATATATACACACATTTTATTTATATATACATGTATATATATACATAAACACATGTATATATATATGTGTATATGTAAATATATATATGTATATATATATATTATATATTATATATTATATATTATATATTATATATTATGTATTATAATAAAATCTATTCTTATTGTATTTAATTAAATGCTACTACGAACACTTATCAGATATAATCGTATAATTGCATCCATTGCAATCCATAGTCAATCTTCTTCGGTCGTGCATGTTCAAAACTCTACTGATCTTTATATATATATATATATATATATATATATATATATATATATATATATATCCTACATTAATTCTATTTAAAGAATATGATTCAATAATTCCTTAAAATATAAATCTATCTTATTTTACTTTTCCTTGAATATTATTATAATTTTCTTTTCTCCAATTTCACACAAATATTTACATAAACATTATATTGTAAAACAATTGTCAGTCTTATGCTGTATAGAGGATTAAATAGTAATTAACATAATAATAAAGATGAACGAATGTTTTGTAACATTAACGGATAGGTTAGGATTATGTGTATTGGCTTCAAAATTAAAATAAAAAATCGATTGACAATATTTTACGCGACGATTTGTTTAAATATTTCAAAATTTCCATTATTGAATTTTAATCCTAATGAAGTCACAATTGCACTGTATAAATATATACGTACATATGTATGTATATCTCATGTGTATATATATACATATATATATATATAATAAATGTATAACAACGACCTATCCTCTAACGATGCACAACGGTAATATGTGTAGCAGAGCCATCTCATCTAAAATACAAGAAGAGGAAGAAGAAAAAAGAGAAAAATGGATGCCGTTCGCGTATTTTCTACGTGCCGTATGATTTTAAAAAGAGACTATATAATTATATGAAAAAAAAAAAAAAGAAAAAGATCACTAAAATCATGTGTACACATATATTTATATATGTTGTGTAGAAAAAAAAAATACAAATAAAAAAAGAATGAAAAAGAAGAAGAAGAACGGACAAAATGCGAAAGTACACGCGTGAATGAAAGTTAGTGAGGAACATTTCAACATTAGTGTAAGCTCACTGATTCTCCCGTAGAGAGCAACGGCTTATTTTATTTATCTATTTATATCTATTTATCTATTATCTATTTATTTCTATTTTATGCGTGTTTCTCTTTCTTTCTCTGTACCGCAATCGACCGTTGGAGCTTCGTTTTAAACGAGAATGGCCAAAATCTTCGAGAGTCTCATCGTTGATGTATTTCAACTGTTTTTCTGTCTGACGAAGATTTTAGCCGTATATGATAATGATAAAAATGATGATGATGATGATGGTAACGACGACGATAATGACGATGACAATGACGGCAATGATGATGATGATGATGATGATGACGATGATGATGATGATAATAATATTGAGATGTGGATCCTCTTATCATCAAAGATGGATCACTGAACCTTCGTTTTCTTTGTGACCCTAGCGTATCTATTATTAGTTCCATTGCTCGAAGATTTCTTAGTTTTACTCTCGTAAAAGAAAATTCTAAACGCGATGTATCCTAAGAACATAACGGCGCTTATAAGGAAGACGAAACCCGGCGTGTACTTGTCAAATATCAATAAAGAACAAACTATTATCATTTCGAAGGCTAATATCAATGGTACTAGATAAACTGCGAGAATTAGGAAGAACGGAATTTGCTTTTGTCGTTGACGTTCCTGTTTTTGGAATATAGTTATTGGTTTTCGTTCTTCATCGTCGACGACAAGGTCAGCTTCGTTGCCTTTCCCTTTCTTCAATTCGATCGAACTTTTCTTTGGATAGATGACGTTATTGTTGTTGTTATTGTTTTTGTTACCATTACCGTACAATGATGTACACCGTAGATATTTGTAAATATAAAAAAATCTTTCGGCAATGCTTCGTAACAATTCGTTGATGCAAACGTTCACCTTCTTAGCAACCGGATGGGACTTTGAGTTATCGTAAGAGTAAAGTAGATATGGAAATAGATTCAGATTCTGGCAGCAATGGCGGAGTTTCTGCATCGAAGCGTGTCTAAAGAGTAACGGTGGCCTACTGTAATTTCCATCTGTAACAAAGAATATGAAAAAGAAAAATAAAAAAAAAGAAAAGAAAGGAGAGAAAGAAAGTTAGAAGAAGAAAAGGAATTAAAAAAACAAAAAATAAAAAAATAAAAAAAAAAGAAAGAGAAATAAAAGAAGCGATGCACTGATACGAAAGATAAATGGGTTGAGAAAGATTAACGCGTAAAACAGTGATTGTTACATCATGCATGACAAACATGTAATTTCAATTCTTTCGTGATAAAACTCGATTTGATAAATGTTAATATTCGTCTTTGCAAAACAAGTGTATTTAATCCATCTATTAGTCTGTTTTTGTTTTAATTTATTTTATTTTATTTCTCTTTTTCGTTCAGTTTGTTCTTTTTACCTTTGAACATGTTGGAAACTCGTCGTACGAGGGTTGGCTTCCCTTTTATGATCGTCTCCTCCTTGGAGATTCCCGAAACGTTCGACATTCTTGTTTAACGTATACGGGCAAAGATCGAGGGTATTTATTTTTCTAAGTTTTTCTTTCTTTCTTTTTTGTGTTCTTCTCTTCTTCTCAGTTCTTCCTTCTTGGAATCTGATCTGAACTCTTAAGTCCTCCTTCGATTCTTGTCAAGATCTTTTTCACACTAAATGCACGTGTGCACAAGCACTTATACTTCAGAACCAATAAGATGATCTATCAACTAAATATCTTCTGTAAAAACAATAAATAATATTCGTATAGATTCGAGATCATTAGAATAATGTTTTAAAGAAAAGGAGAAAAGTTGAAATGGTAGAAATTAATCAAAGCGTAGTAATAATTTGATTAGAGAATTTTAAATAAATCGTTCTTCTTTGAAAAAAAAAGGATTGCTTTTAACGTCGATGATATTTCGAACGATCTTTAACGACGTATAAATCGGTAAACACTGAGTTCAAGTTTCATACGTTCCGTAAAATAGGAAGAATAAAAAAGAGAGAGAGAGAGTAAGAGAGAGAGGGAGGAAAAAAGAGAGGATAAGAAAAAAGATAAAAGAGAAAAGACGGTCATGCTTCGATAGCCTATCATTGACCCCCCGAGATTAATCGATCATGATTCAGAAAACTTCTCTGCCTGTCGATCATTTTAAAATTTCGAAAAAAAAAAAAAAAAAATGAAGATTGACATGACATAAAATAAAATGATACAAAATATATAATGATAATAAAATGAAATAAAGACAAAAAAAAAAAAAGAAAAAAAAGAAGATGAAAGAAAAGAAAATAAAAATTTATTAAAGATAATGGATACGAGAAAAATAAAAAGAAAAATAAAATAATATATATATATATAAAACGCAACCCATTATATATGTATATAAAACTTAACCCATTTTATGTATTTGTATATAAAACGCAATTCATTTATATATATATAAAAGCAGTGAGACGACGATGAAACTTGTTGAAACGTTTCCAACCAACCAACAAAGTACAACGATATAAGGAAAAAGAAACAAGATTATTAGTACCGAGAAGTAAAAGACCAAAAACGGAAAAACCGGTGAAATAAGCATCGTATTTCTTTATGCTTGTACGATCGTCTGCAGTTACTAACTCATGGCTACGTCGCAATAACACACGCATTTTAACTCTCCCGCGAATACGTAGTTACATGTGATGATATTCCTTAAATGCCCCTCCGCCGCCCCAACCCCGAGTAAAATCAGAACCAAAACACAGCGACGTACAATTTATATACATCGTGTATAATCGTACGGAGACGAATGAAGTCACCCGTTATATAGCATTTGCATCAATCTATTTTTTTCTTTTCCTTTTATCTCTCGCGATAAACGCGATGAACGGGAGGCGGGAAATTTAAATTGAACCTATACACGATTTTACGTGTGGATAATTAAAAAAAAAAGAAAAGAAAAAAAAAAGAAAAAAAAAAAAGAAAAACATGTCATTACAAAAATAAACCGTCATCCTTTTTTCTCATCACTTCTTTTCTTTTTTTTTCTTTTTTTTGTTTTTCTTTACAACGAAAATAACAAAAGATTTATCAGAATATGATAAGAAAAGAAAATATTTCATATTCTCTATGTAATATCTTAGATATTCATAAGAGTGATATATAATCTAAAGCAAACATTTTAATACTTCTTAATCGTTGTTTTTCCAACGTAAAATGAAAAGGACAAAAATGAAATTATTTCGAGGGTACCAAATTTATAATAATACGGCACTGTGTAGACACGGTGAATACCGTTTCGATCGACCCCGTTCGAACGAGAACGTTGTGTTTAAGCGTTGCCGTTTCGCGCGATACAATTAGATTCGATAATGTTGATGTCGAAACTTCGCGAGTAGGGTGGAAGATTAGACATGACGACGTTAACAGTCAATTGATACGATGAAAAATTAAGAATCATGGGGAAGTGTATGCAATAAATGTATGTGTATGTGCGTTAGTGCATACGCGAATATATATTTATATATAGACGCACGCACACACACAAACACACGCACATATATACATATATACATATATACACATACATATATGTATTCGTTAACTAGACACTGGAAACTTCTATCTATGAATTTTCTGTTTCCCTTCTATATTTTTCTCACTGATTACTATACAAAACCATATACTTTGCAGTAAATCGTTCCTACAAATGATTCTCCATAAGATGTTCTATCTTTTCTTTCTCTCTCTCTATCTCTCTATCTCTTGCTCACTCAAACATCCACTCACTCACACTCACTCTCTCTCACTCTCACTCTTGCTCTCTCGCTCTCTCTAATTATTATGTAGAAACATATACTTTAAAGTACAACGTTTCTATAAAAAATATGACTTAACATAAAACGTTCTATCTTCTATTTCTTCTTTTCTCTCTCTTCCTCTCCCCCACCCCTCTCTTTCTTTCACTCTCTCTCTCTCTCTCTCTCACTCTTAGTCACTTAGTTATATACATATATTTACCTTTCTATGATCTTCTCTCCGGTTAGTCTATTTGTACTTCTTATAAAGATTGAATATTATTAGAAATTTTTGAAATATTATTGCCATATTCTATTGAAAAAAAAAAAAAAATAATAATGATAAATTCCGATCTAATATTTCCCTTATTATTTGTCTTCATACAAATAATATATTGTTTTTCTTTTCCTTTCTCTTTCTCTCTCTCTCTCTCTCTTTCTCTTTCTATCTTCGATCGATCGGTAAACTTCAAATGAAAGGCACACTACCGGTAACATTCACGATTAAATATAAACAACGACTCCCGTGAACTGAACACGACGCATGCAAACTACTTCTGCCGAGGGATAAGAGAGAAATGGTTAAAGACGAGTAGAAACGACACAAGCGACCTCGAGCGTCAGGGATACGACCTTCTTACTGGTCGAGAACGAACGACGGAGAAAGATGAAGAAAAGGAGAGCTCTGATTGGTCAGAAAATAAACGAACTCGTACGAATCGATCAAAAACTCTTCTTCGTCCGTGATCGTTCAGGGATAATGGTTAACTCGACTCGAAGGGCCGTCGAAAGAAAAATATAACAGTACGAGCCATTAGTCACGTATGCTAGTTGCGCTCTTATGGAATCTAATAGATCGTTCTAATTTCTAATATATTATTTTTATTTTTAAATTTTTCTTTATATTTCTTCTTCCTTTTTCTTTTTTCTTCTTTTTTTTTTTTTACGTTTCGATCGATCTTAAAATAAAGTTACGTAATTTAGTCGTCGAGTTTAAATTTATTTTGTTTTTTTTTTTTTTTTTTTTTTTTCTTGAGAAATCAACAATGGGTGTTCTTCCGGTTTCGAATCATTTTTCGAAATCGTTTCATCATTCAAAATGGATTTTAAATGTTAATCAAAGAATGAATTTATATACGTAATAAATATATGTCTGTTAAAATGGCGTTAACTTCAATTAGAGATTAAAATTACAATATTTTTAATCTTTTTAAACGATTATAATATTAAGGAACATTATTAAATTATAAATAAAAATTGTATATTCGTTTTAAAAAGTAAACGACGTTAATTAATATAAACAATTGCATTTCTCAAAGTATGAAGCAAATAATAAAACGCATTGTACTTATATTAGACTGTCAAAATTATTTGAATTATTTCAAATAAATATTCAGATTGTAAAAACTATTATATGATTTTAAATTACTATTAGTAAATGTTTCCATTATGATTTAAATGCAGGTATACGTATTTCTACAGATATATTTCAAACATAAAACAGATTTCCCAATCGATTGTGATGTTTGGACATAAATATTATTCGTGCAAACGAAATATATGTCACATATATAATTATGCAAGTGGTTTAAAAAAATATATATATATATATATATATATATATATATGTATCTATTTGACTTAGACCATTTGTATGATTACATATGTATACATATATGTATGTGGCCTGTAATATTTCATTTGCACGAAAAGATATATATATATATATATATATATATATATATATATATATAATTAATTATATATAATAAATATTAACTCTATTAGAACAAAAAAAAATCATGAATCCATAAACGTTTTCTTTCTAAATTACAGACATATTGCCTTATCTACCTCAGGCGACATAGATAATTCATTCAACATCGATATGTAATACGCATTAACACGGAATTAACTTTTTCTGCCATTTCATAAAATATAACAATTTTGAATTTCTTAAAGTTTTTTCTTAAAGTTTGCTATAAATAAAAAACATTATAACTACCAAAAAAGCGTTTTAACTAGCAGAAAAATTTATAACTAACAAAAAAAGCCACGTCATATGTTTATATGACTTTCCTTCATCCTAACACTGAGTAGAATACATTTTTAAAATTTGACAATCTGTTTCTGAAATAACATATATATATACTATTATATATATAATATTATATAACATATATATATAATATTATATATATATATATATAATATTATATATATATATATATAATATTATATATATATATATATAATATTATATATATATATTCACATCATTTCCACTTTCATAATTATTGGTACATAATAATTGGCATATAAAAAATTTTGTACGCGTGATCGATAATCGAAAGTTCGTACGTACAATTCAATTCTAAATCTACTTGAGTTCATTAAATTATTTTCTCTCTTCTTCCTATACTTGTGCATGCGTGCTTATACGTGTGTACATGTGTATCTGTATGTACGCATCATGTAACGATAGAAAAAGAAATAAAGATTCGACTGGTGTTATAAATAACATCAGTACGTTCGAATGTGTTGTTCCCAAATGCCAACCTCTTTAAACGTATTTTTTTTCGTTTCTAGAAAAAGAAACATTGCATACATAACTAGTAGACATGTAATGAAAAGAAAATGTAATTCATACAAAATCACATTCACATAATATACTCTATCGTACGGAAACGAGAAACGTTAATTATAGTCGCATATCCTTCGGATATCACAAACACACAAAGACACACGAGTTCAATGTTCAAAGGCAATTTATTATCGACATTATAAAGTTAATGAAATATGAATAAGCTATATAGAGAAATTGAATACATTTCCTAGAAATAAAATAAAATCTGTCAGTATATATAAGTATTATAAATCATTTAAAATGTTTTTGACAAAACAGAAATTTCTCGACTATGAAATAAAATATTTTTGGAACGTGACCGAACACGTGACCTTTGCTCGTTCCAACAGTCCAAAGGCAACACATTTTTAAAAAAATCATTATACTTGCTATAAAATGAAGAAAAAAACGAATAAACAAAAATCGAAGAAGCAAAAATTATGATAAGGCATAGAAAGGAAAAAGGAATAAAAAATAAATTAAACAAAAAGAAAAAGCAAGAGAAAAATAATAATAAGAATAAAAACTAATCAAAGAAGGAAAAAATAAATCAAGATAAATGAAAAAGAAATGAAATAGCACACGAGCAGGAGATAAAAAAGAGAACGGTGCGAAGGCCTTTTGATTTCTCGTTTTGGTGGTATCACGCTTCCTCCGCATGAAACTGATCGTTTAAAGTGGGGAAAAAAAGAGAGGAATTGGAGAAAGGGACACGGTATACAACACGCACAAAGAGAAGGACGCAAAGAGGACGAAGAGAAGAAGCATCCTAGAGACCACGTGCGGTTTCGTGGCTGTACCATTTTTCTATTTACTTATTCCTTCCTCCTTTCGATCTATCCTTCTTCTTCTTCTTCTTCTTCTTCTTCTTCTTCTTTTTCTTCTTCTTCTTCTTCTTCTTCTTCTTCTTCGTCACTTCCTCCTTCACCTTCTGCTTTCTATTATTACTCATCTTTTTATTTTTCTTCGTATATGTATTTATTACGTCAGAGATCAATGTATCATTGCATAACGTTCAATATCTCATTATAGGACCTTGTCACTGACTATTTACCGTTGACTTATTCAAACTTTTATCCATTTTCATACAAATTTCCGTTAATTCAGATAAAATAAGACCAAAGATTCCATTTGAGAGGATTTTAATGATACATACATGAATATTTGGTTATGGTCTAATTAAATCAATTTTTGTAAAAATGTATGTTTACATTATGTACGAGAAGTGTAATCAATTATTCTACATAAAGAATATTTAATTATTATATTAATGATATGATTATATGATTGTGTAATGTAAAATATAAATTAAAAATGTAATATATAGTATATATTCAACTGATAATCACATAATCATATTCGTAATTAATAATTTTATTAATTAAGAATATGATTATATATATATATATATATATATATATATATATATATATATATATATATATAAAAGTACACGTATATATAAAAGTAAGAAAATGAAAAATATTTTTTCAGTCATATTATTATTATTACATATTTAATAATGTGAGATTATTTTAATATAAAATTATTAGATTATTAATATACGATTATTAATACTATAATTAATGGAATCAATTTTCGTAGAGAATTTGATTTTCACGTAATAAAAATATACGTCATTAATATTTACCTGTTTTCTTTTATTAATAATCTTTTCTTTTTAAACAAAATACTATGTAATTACTATATAATTTATAAAAATGAGTACACTACTAGTTTCTAAATGTCAATGGCCATGACCTAAAGAAACGAATATTCGATTCCACGGAAGTAGTTTTTCGGTTAGATTCAAATTAACTTTGCATGTAAATTCATTTCAATACGTTAAATAAAGTGAACGTTATAAAAAGAAAAGAAAAAATATCATTGGTTAATACTTAATGATAGATAATATTTGAATAAATAAATCGTGTTAAATTACAAACGATTAATTAATTATTCTCATTCCTTACTTTTTTTTATTTCCTTGCTATTTATTTTCTTTTTTCTTCGTTATTGTTCAATTAAATATTTCCAATGTAAATATGACAACTATGGACGTATATTCTGAGTCATTCTTATCGATCTTTATCAATTCGTAATTAATAGAAAATAACATTGTTAACATTGTAATTGTCCTCTAAGAAAGATAAAACAAATGCAAAATTATGATTGACCCATTGAAAGTAATTCTAGTTATTACACTATTACTTTTACTATAGTAATTATTTAGAAAATAAAAAAATTCATCGACAAAATTACTAATAATCTCTAAATATTTATATTATTTACTATATAATCATTTATTAATATTAACGATTTAATCGTTCGAATATTACTTATGGGAGTTCTTCGTAAAAATTTGATCGAAAAATCGTCCAAACGTAGGCGCGATCGCTCTTTATTACGATTACGCTGTTCTTTTTTACTTGCTTGATTTATTTGTAAATAATTAAAAATATTGTCGCATTAAATTCATTGTTATCGTACTAAATAAGTAAATACTTATTTGTGTGATTATAAATAATGAAAATATTACCTTTATGAATAACAATATCCAAACATATTCTATCAGTTTGATTTTACAAATATCGGCTAACACTTTCTTTCAGTCACTAACCAGAAGACGTATGATCGGTTCACTTGCCACTCCTCAGTCATGAGCGGGTAAAATAACATTTCAAAAACCTTATATCTAATCACATAGAAAAATGGTTGCAAACATATATTTTGTTATTTGATAAGTGATAACCAGTCGACCTAGTGTCTTGATTTTTGTGAAATAAAATTAATCTGTTTATTCACACAAGCGAATATAGGTATTACATTATTTCAGATTCATAGATATTACTTTTTAAAAATTAAAAAATAATTCATTGACAAGATTTATAAAGTATGTATCAAGAAAATGTGGATATGTGTGTAATTATTTGTACAATTTCAAATATTCTATTTCACTTTTGTGGATCATTCTAACATCATAAAAAAAGAAAGTACTTGCATACTCTTTTTTTAAATCTAATCATTATTATATTTCTATATATTCTTTTTTTTTAGATCTAATTACTAATACTACAACAACAATAAAAAAAAAGTACTCTTATATGTTTTCTTATTAATTGAATGATAATAATCCGACATTTTATATGAATTATCAAACTAACTCTTTATAAACTAAACAAATTTATTGATAAAATTAATAAATCTATAAAGTATTCTAAAATATTCTCTAAAGTATATAAAGGAAAAAATAAATATTATTACGAATTATTTATAATATTTCCAAAATCTTATGATCACTTTATAATTAATTTAGCTAATCGATCGATAATTCTGATTTAGCTAATCACATTTGCTAAATCAGAATTATAGAAGTAAGAAAACAAAAAAATCTTTTTGTATATATTTTTCTAATGAATACAAAAGAAGCGTAGTTTGTAGCTTCGCTGCACATTCCTGTCACGTGTTATGTAGCTTGGAGAATCCCAGGGAAGAGAGAGAGAGAGAGAGAGAGAGAGAGAGAGAGAGAGAGAGAGAGAGAGAGAGAGAGAGAGAGAAAGAGAGAGAGAGAAGCAATGGAAAATTCTTTCGTCCCAAACGACCGTCATTCTAATACATGCACTCTTGAGTATTCGTCTGTGAAAACGAGGGTGTGTTAGTTCGGGTCTCTTTTGAAATCACTTATATATCACGTGATAAAACCCTCGAGTGGACCAATCAGAGCGAACACCATGAAACGATCACGTGCTCGGTTAGTGTTTGCTTTGTGAAAGTTTCTTCTTTTCTTCGTTATTTGGAATACACAGGTAGTTGTATAAAACTATTTATTATAAGTTGTATGTAATAAATTCATCCATTCGATCATTTAATCAGAAGAAACATCATAGAACGATCACGTCATAAATTTTTATTTTTGTTTTTTTTTTTTTTTCTGAATGCATGCCATTTTATCTTTTAGAAATATTTATTTCAAATTGGCTATACATACATGTGATGTAATACTTTTGTGAAAAAATCAA